TGTCGGCGCTAGGATGATTTGTCTATGTACATACAATCTCGTTCTTATAGAGCGCCTGAGGTTATGTTAGGTCTACCTTATGACCAGAAAATCGACTTATGGTCAGTCGGGTGCATTTTGGCCGAGTTATATTCTGGAGAGGTATAATATTTGGTCTTATTTATTATATTTCTACGGCTATTTTGTTGGCCATTTATTTTCGGATAATTTGCGATAAATATATATGAATGGCGCAGGTGCTTTTTCCGAACGAAGGAGTTGCAATGCTTCTTGCACGAATGGTAGGAATGATTGGTCCGATTGACGTGGATATGTTAGACAATGGCCTCGATACGCACAAGTATTTTACGAAAGAATATGACATGTATCAAATTAATGAGGTATGATTCAATTTACTCGAAAAAAATAAACAAATGTCGATATAATTATTTATTCATAATTTTTTGTTGTGTGCGTAAATATGTATTAGGACACAAATCGACTGGAGTATATTATCCCCGACGAGTCATCATTGGAGGACCATCTGCAAATAACGGATTATTTGTTCGCTGATTTTTTGAAATACTTACTTCAAATTGATCCGAAGAAACGGCCTAGTGCAAGAGTGGCGTTGGATCACCCTTGGCTTTCTCATACATACGATATATAAGTCGAATTATATTTGCTTAAATCTTATCGTATATGTACATAACATTGATCTTATTGATATTCGAGATGAAACATCCTCAAACCACATGAAACAATTTTACGTGTTTTCGAATATCGGGTGTTTGTGTTAAACTAAGTGAGTAGTAACCGAATAACGATCGATTTTAAATCGAGTACCGTGTAATTCAATTTCGGAATCCAGTCACACTGATTAGTTGTACCTAATAAAAGCTAAAATAAATGACTAGTTTGGAGGTTAGCTTTTGAAATCAAGAACCAGAAATAATAATGCTACTATAGTCAATTGTGAAATTCAAAATCGTCACAATCAAGTCCAAAATTTGGAAGTCTTCTCATTGATGCAGACTTGACTTATATTATTCTACATTATTTATTAATTTATTTATTTTTTGCATTTATCAAAATCTAAATTAGAAATTAACAATACTCTAATTTTCTAAAGCAAATAAAAAATAATATTAATTAGTAGTCCTGATGAGACAGTGTGGGTAAGAACAAATGGGGATAGAGCATATACTTGGACTATGTAATGATGATAATATATTAATTTTTTAATAATAAATAAAATAATAATGTAATAATAGGGATATACAAAGTTGCCAAACTAGGAAAAATTGTCTCTTCTGATTGGCAGAATCCACTTTTTAATAACTTTTTGCTGTTCTTCATTCCCATTCTTTTCCTAGGCGCGTCTGATGGGATTATCTCTCATGGCTGTGTATCATAATTTAGTTTTTGTTTTTTAATGAATAAATGAATATATAAAGAATATTTGATAACTTATTAACCACTTCAACAAGAGATTAGCTTAACATAAGTGAATAATATTATCAACTTTTATTTGAAAATCGAATCATGATATATTAAATAAAGAGGAAAAGATGAACAAAAAAGCTATAGAAATAAAAAAGGACAAATCCAAAAACCA